GAGGCTGAATGAAAGTCCACTTCCTGGTATGATCATTTCCCCATTCCCTCCCTTCTCTCAGTGAATCCCTTTTTAGCTCTAGAAATTGAACCACTTTTGGTCAGCATATGTAGTTTTGGCTTTTTTTTTTTAATTCGTTCTCCACTGCCTGTGTTATTTCATTCTGTCTTAGGTTGATAAAGCAATTTACTAGTAAATTTTGGAGATTGTACCATCTTTTATTTTGATTTTATTTCAATAAATGAACTACTTCTTAAAAAAGTGTTTCATGCTATATGTACATTTTTTGAAAATCAAATTAAATTTGTATTGATTCAGGATTTCATTAGCTGTTATTTTTATGTATTTTTTTTTCTTTGAGCATTTTATGATACTCCTAAGGGTCCTCTGGGAGATCACAAAAAAAAATAAGTAGGAAATTGTTGCTCTAAAAGGATTAGAATTGCAGTTATAGTGAATGCAGTTCTCTTAGGCCAGACAGAAAAAAGATAACAGCCATTATTTGCACTTGTAAATTCCTCCATTATATTTGCAAAGATCTTACAGGAGATATTCTCTGAGGCATCCTGGTGTGTGAATCACTTTCTCAGGTAAAAGGAAACCACCCAAACTCTGTCCATAATAAGTGGCATTGAGTGACTGCAGGAAACTTCATCATCAAAGAAAATTAATTATTCCTTACCTTCAATCTGTCAATGACAAGAAAGAAGACAGCCCTATTCCAGAGAAACTCCACAAGGGCAAACAAACACATGCTTCAGGATAACTTTTAACCAAGAAGTTTTTCAGCACACCTTGTGGGAAATTCTCCGGGCATGATGTAGAATTTACAAAGTTGTTTAAACCACCTGCCCTGACTCCTCTGGTGTGGAGTGGGCAGGTCTGATTTCAATGGCCAGCACTGGCATCACTGCATAGCTATTTCCTCGGGAGCCTTGAGCCCATCCTTTCTGGAGGCACAACAGGATGGAAGGGACAAAGGAGCCTCTGGAAGCCACACTCGTTAATAAAGATCCCAGAAGCCTTCCTCTCAGGTTCTATGACTCCCCCACTGTGTTCTGACCTTTCTACAGACTTCTCCAGAGAGATGAAGTTTATTCAATCCACTGAGGTGACTTGTTTCATAACACATCATATCGCCTTCTTGGTGGTCCATTTTCCTAGTAAAATCTTCTGGGATCACCTCCCAAATTTCTTATCATCTAATCTTTGGTTCAGGTTAGAGGCCTATGAGAATGCAAACCAAGACCAGTCCCAAACATTGAATGTTTCAGTAATTCAATGTTCATTGACCTGTTCCATACAGAGAGTCCTTAGCTCTTCACTGGACAAGAATAACAGCCTTATGCAGAGATTAAATATCGAGAGAAAGAGGGTCCTTCAAAGCCATCTACCTGCCCCTGCACTATATTTTATGGATGAGGAAACTGAGGCAGAGGGTAACCTGTTTCTCTCAGGGATGAGGGGCCCAGGGGTGAGGAACATAAGCTCAAGTGAGTTAGATTACTTATTTGAACTCCTGGTTCCCCCTACTTCTGAGCATTTATGAGCATATCTAATTAGCATTTGGTGAATGTGGAAGTAGAAGAGGTAGAGTGCAAAGAATAAGAAAAAAAATGGAAATGGTCCCTGAACACAAGTAAAATACAACTGGATCATCACAAAACAATCACAGAAAGA